CGCTGCGGCATACCCAAAACAAAGCCTGTATACCATCCTTATTTCATATGGCTTAGGACGATGCATCAAAGTACGCGGGTTCACATATGCAGAAAACGTAATACTTCAAGTCGAAGGATAGTTACACCCGTGGTCGCGCTAAAGATGCTTAGAGCATGAACTAAAAGTTCAAGCAACATCTTTAGGATGGGTCAGTCCGGCATCCTATTATCTCTTGATAATATCTGCCCATGTGCGGATGCGAACACACCGTCATTGACTATGAGACTAAGTCAAACATCCAACACACACTAGTCTCACATGCATTAACGATATCCCACTCTCGTTAATACTCGACTATGGACATTTAGATAAATATTTATTTCAAGATGTTAGTCTTATCAGCAGAATAACATTATCTGATAAACATCTTTTAAATATAAATCTAGGAATATAATATTTGTTTACATTAGCATGAGATGTGTAAACATATTATATCTGCCTATACATGATAGAATAACGATAAACAGTTGGCCATCAGGGCACAACTCCAACAGTTTCCAACAGGATGAAGATAAATTTTTCAGGGACACAGAGTAATAGTCGATTGTCAAAGATTGATAATCGATTATAAAAAGATTTTGTGTCCAAAAATTTAACACTCTATCCGTTGGAGGACAACGGTCGCACTGATAATCGATCGTCAACTTGTGTCAGTCGACTATGAGGCCTCTTAGAAGTTTCTGGGTTTAAAGAAAAACGCAGACAATCGAGTGACAATAAGTGTTAGTCGATTATTGGATGGTTCTGAACTTAAGGATCAGAACTGCAGTAGCCAATATTCGAATGGTGTAAACTGACAGCCGATTTTCAGCTGACTAAAACCATCCGGCAAGAAACTTAACCCGAAAAGCCGAGGTCCAAAAATGAAGTGTTCCCAAAAGTAAAAACCAAGTTTGAATAAAATTTTATATGGTATAAAATAGTGAAACCAATACTTGTTTGATAAAAACCAAGTGTTCGAGGTCGTTTTTCATGTGTGTACGGTTTTGCCCGTTTTTCACGTGTTAGACCGGATGGCCAAGATACAGAGGTGGTTTTCATAAAATAATTATTTAGGAACCTTTTAAATATGCACAGAGATAAAAACGATGTTTAAAATATTGAAAACCACCGAGTTGGTTCAGACACCGAAAACCGAACGCCGAATGCCGGACAAAGTGGTTTTGGTCTAGGCAAAGACCATGGATTTTAATAAATTAAAACATTTAATAAAAACGTTTATTTTGATGCATAAAAAACGCTTTATGATTTTGTAAAAATTGTTTTGACTCTTTGAGAACCGAGACTTGAATTGATTGTCAGTTAGATCACACTAAGACTGACTCGACTAAGTCTTCAATTCTTGATCTTGTCCTTGAGTCTTTTGGTCTTAGTCCGTGCCATTCTTAACGCCTTGAGTTGTTCAACAAAACTCTTCATATCCATGGCGGTTTCGCAATAATCAAAACATGTCAGAAATGAACACGACTTTAGTTCAACGCAATAAAAAGTGTGTTCCAACAATTTCTCCCTTTTTGATAATGGCAAACAAGACGGGGATATGCATCGGGTTCTGATCTTTTTGAAAAAAATTCCCCCTTAATATATGCATAGCCCTTATCTTCCCCCTTTTGACATTAACAAAAAGATTTAAAAACCATAAAGATTATTATTTTATTAAATAAGGGAAAAGGCGGAGTACACATAATAGAAGCAATTAGAAAAATAGAAAATAGGAAGAGAAAAAGAGAAAAGAGTTAGAGCTCTAGAAATCCAGGGTAAGAGCATCGAGGAGTTGGTCTTCATCAATGTCTTCCTCTTCCTCTTCTTCTACTTCTTCTTCTTCTTCTTCGGCTTCTTCTTCCCCTTCTTTCACTCCTTTATTTTCCTCTTCTTCACCATCTCCAACTCCAACGTCATTTATCACATTTGGTTCACCCCCAAAGTTTGGCAGAGGAACGTAAGGGACCATTTGGGCGTAAGGGTAGTTGACAAAGTTAAAATACCCGTGAAGCTCACGCCTCAAAATGTTGACGTTTTGGGCCGTTCGGGAGACGTTGGTGTCAATCCGAGAAAGGGTGGCGGTCAAGGCGGCCATTTGCTCGGCAAGAGATGGGTTGTTTGAAGCGATCGCCCTTGGATGGCGGCGTGGACGAGGCTGCGGGAACGGAGATTCATCGGTTCCCGGGTGAAAGGAGAACTCGTCAATCTCCCAATGCTTTGTCCCTTTTTTCTTTTGCCCAACGTCCGTCTTGATTATGAATTCATCAAGGATTGCCATGACTAGAAGGGCGAAGGGAAGCGGCCGGTTGTCGGAGGTGGCGCTAAACATGTGAGTCATCACATATTTACACCAATTAATATTGGTGTTGGGGGGAGCGTCTTTGTGTCCTCTTGGGAGAGAGCAGTGTGATTGAACTTCCTTGGCTTGAGAATCCGTGTCAAAACATAAAAGATGAATCGAAACACGAGATTCATGGGAGTAATCGTCGGGCGGCGCTGTTGGGGAGTGGGGACAAAGTTTCTGATTCCCACTTCCTCTAAGAGGGCGGTTTCGTTGAACCGTGCCCCTTCTTCTCCGACGTAGAGGCCAATAACCTATCCATTCCAACGAAGCCCGGTGAGTATTTGAATGTTCTCCTCATTCAAATAGATATCCACCCCGTTGACGTTTGAAATCAACGCTCCGTCCTCATCCTTTTTCAAATTCGAGTAGAAAGCTCGAATAAGAAAAGGTTGATAGTGAGCCTTCTTGAAGTAGAGGAGGTCAAGGAAGTTTCCACGTTCGAGGATAGTCTGTGCCTCGTGTGGAATGGAATTGTGAATGAAGCGGGCGGTGGAGAACCGGGGGGGAGAATTTCCCGGTGCTCAAACTTCTTTGCAAAACAAGTCGCCTCTGTGCGGTCGTTGAACCAAAGGAATGACCCATCGAGGTACTTGTGCGCCAATAGTGGTGGAGGAGCCAAGGAAGAGGCGGCGTTCTTTCCGATGCGGGATCTTTTCCTTTGTCCTCCTGCAATTTCAACAAGTGTTGGGAAAAATATTATAGATTTTGATGATGATGTATTTAGATTGTAGTAGGGACTTTAGGTCACCCCCAATAATGAATGTAATTTTTCTTTTTAGAAATATTGTTAAAACCGAGTTCTTGAGATTTCCAATAAAATTGTGATATTTCACTATGTGGTTTGATGTCAATCCTTGAAGACTTAATCAAATTCAGTGATATGGAAAATTGGAATTCTTGATTGGAAATGCCAGAGATAAGTAAGGAATTCTCAAAACAGTTTGTTACTTTGAAGAATCTCAAATCTGGAATTCTCCATGATAACCGGATGTCTCGCAACAACCCGCTCAAGGCTATGTCAACCGGATCGGAAGACTAGCGTGGATTTCTTTCTCACCTGGAAGTCTAAGAATGACTAATCCGGAACTGTGAGCCAAAGAACCGGATATCTCAAGGAAGACTGGAACTCTCAGAAGCAGACTAGTGAGAAAAGACTTAGAAAATAATCTAAGTCATGAATGAAAAAATTCTACCCGTTGGTAAGGAAAAACCAATCTCTTGATTTTCAATAGCTAGATTGAGGATATTTAAGCTGATTCAAGAACAAATGACATGAAGACAAAGTCTGGACTTCTCAAATTGAAGAGCTCGCCAAGAATTCCTAAACAAACACAAGAAGACAAAATGAGTACTCCACTCAATAAAGAGCTACAGTCTAGAATTCTTGAACAACAGCTAAAGGACGGATTCTATGAAAAAGGAATCCTTCTTTAAACAAATTGGGTATGTCCAAACACACATTCCAATGGAGATTCCTCAATCTCACTCTTCATTCAAATTGAAGCCAATAAATGCAACTGATAGTCTATTCCCTTCAACGGATAGATTATTCACCCAGCTATATATAGCTTCCATGGAAGACTGGAGAAATAGATGAGATAGCGAACAAAACTACAACAACGACGAACTAAAACTATCTCATTCACAGTTAGCCAAAAAGCTTGATAAAGAGATATTTTTAAACTCCTTATCCAGAAGCAAACTTCTCCCCTCCTTCCAAAGAGCTATAGTGTAAACACTTGAAGGTTTCCTTGCCTCAAGTACCACACCACCTTGAAGGATACAACTTTTAATCAAACTTCTTGATTAAAACGGGGTACATCAACTTTTCGACAAGTTGATCTTGTAAGTCCTATTGTTCGGACCTTGTAGTTGTTGAAGAAGCGTGACCTTCGAAGAAACAACAAAGCCAGCACGTGTGCAGTTGCAACATTGGCCTTGCAAAGATATCTCGCGCAGAAATTCACACAAGTGTAATTGTTGGTTTATTATTCAACAGCCAACTACATAGTGGATTTTGAGGACGTAGTAGGATTACCCCACCTTCGAACCTCGTTAAAATTTGCGTGTCTCTCTCTTTTATCTTTACTTATACTTGCACTTATATTAACTGTGAAACTAACCCATCCATATTGATTACTACTCTAATAACCCACCAACTTCTGCACACTATCTAAGTTCACAAGAATTTTAGATTAACACTCATTTCCACGTTTTCAAACGAAATGAAAAAGTTTTTAAACTTGTAACAAAGTCTATTCACCCCCCCCTCTAGACTTTGTATCTCACCACTTTGGGACCACCAACAAGCTAAGAGAGAGGAGAGAAAAAAGAAAAAATTGCAGAAATTTGACAAAGAATGAGGAACAATTGCAAGAATTGATGAAATATGATGAATATGTGAAGAGAAAGTGATTTGAGTAAGTATAAAATGAATGGAGATCACCAATATAGTGGAAGATGCTAGAGATTCGTTGAAGATGGTTCTTGAATATGGAAACTTTACGCTCCACATGATTGCATGTGGATGGTGCTTGAAGATGGACCCTTGAAGATTCAAATGGAGAATCCAGAGAGGGATCCAACCAACCCCGATGCAGTCCGATACATTACAAAGCCCAAGGAGAAATGGGATGATAGAGATTGCAAAAAGCACAATCTGGACAACGTCGCCAAAGCAGCCATCTTCAAGACACTTGATCCGATCACCTTTTCAAAAATCAAGCATCTCAAGACTGCCATGGAAATATGGCAAGGTCTTGGGAAGTTGTGTGAGGGATCAGATGATCTGAGAAAGCAGAAGATAGAGGTTCTGCTTGAGAAGTTCAAAAGCTTCAAAATGCTTCCCGGAGAATCATTTGACTTGCTGGATGAAAGATTCCAGAAGATTTTATTTGATCTTGAATCACTTAACCACATTCTTTCTCCCAAAGAAAAGAATGTAAGGTTACTGAGGTCTCTTCCAGCTGAGTGGTACACCAAACCACAGCTATGGAAGAAGGAAGAAATTTAGAGAACTACACTGTTCAAGGTCTCCTAGATGAGCTCAGAACCTATGAGCTTGAGCTGAAGAAGAAGAAGGAAGAGCAAGTCACTCTTATTCCCACAGCACTGATGAATAATCACAGAGTCCCAGCAAGCGAAGGGACATGCCCACGGAACTGTGACACTCCTTCCACCAGCCAGCCACCAAGCTCAAAAACGGGGAACTACGAGCAGGAGCTTGAAATTATGATCAAGAAATTCCTGAATTCCAAGAAGTTTTTCAAGAAAACTGACTTATTCAGAAGGCCATCTAAGGGAAAGCTACACGTAAGCAACTCCCCTCCCGAATCTTACTTATGCTATAACTGCAGGCCACTAGAAGTCAGCTTGTCCATACCCAAAAGTGGAGAAGTACGGAGAAGGAGAAAGGAACGAGAAGAAGAAGGCAATGGTAGCAGTTGAGAGTGACGAGTCATCCAGCTCAAGCTCAAATGAGGAAGCCCTCGTCTGCATGGAGCACAGAACTGAGAAGTCCAACCATGAGGATCGGTGGACAATGTCAGAAGATTATACTCTCTGCCTAATGGCCAAAGATGATGCTGATCAAGAGGTAACTTCACAAACCTCTTGCTCATCTTCTTATGAAAGCATACCAACTTCTGAAAATATTGTTGACAAGTTCAAAAAGGTGATGGAAGATTTTGAGGAAATAAATCTTAAATATTTATCTTTAACAGAAGAGAACAAGCTATTGAGTGAAGAGAATCTCAAGTTGACTAAAGGTCGGAAAAGTCAACTAAGTGAGATCACTCAACTCAAGGCTGAGAATGAATCTCTCTCTGAAAAAGTGAAATCTCTCAACATGGAGCTAGGGATACTGAAGTCCTAAGAAGTTGTTGATAAGCTTCTTGAAACAACCAGGAAGAAGGGTTGTGAAGGACTTGGGTTTGACCCCTCCAGTTCTAAAAGGAAAGGGAGAACAACATTCATTCCTCCCAAACCTACTGCCAAACCCAATAAGCAAAAAGGTAAGGAAAGGGAAAAACCAACAGAAGTTCCCAATAAGGTAGTCCCTCCTAAAAACTATAGGAAGCAGGACACAACTCAAAGAGGAAACAATTTCAGAAGAAAAGCTTCTAACCCCCACTTTACACAAGGTTATACTCATTATGGGGTAGATATGAGTTTTCCAAGAAATAGTGGAAAAGTCAACTAAGTGAGATTACTTAACTCAAGGCTGAGAATGAATCTCTCTCTGAAAAAGTGAAATCTCTCAACATGGAGCTAGGGATACTGAAGTCCAAAGAAGTTGTGGATAAGCTTCTTGAAACTACCAGGAAGAAGGGTCGTGAAGGACTTGGGTTTGACACCTACAGTTCCAAAAGGAAAGGGTGAACAACATTCATTCCTCCCAAACCTACCGCCAAACCCAATAAGCAGAAAGGTAAGGAAAGGGAAAAACGAACAGAAGTTCCCAATAAGGTAGTCCCTCCTAAAAACTATAGGAAGCAGGACACAACTCAAAGAGGAAACAATTTCAGAAGAAAAGCTTCTAATCCCCACTATACACAAGGCTATACTCATTATGGGGTAGATAGGAGTTTTCCATGAAATAGTGAGTGGAGAACTTTGCCAAGATATATTCATCCTCCACCCCAGAAATTATTTGTTCCACCTAATTATACTTACAACCCTCACAGGTCACACTATGCACAACCTAGACAAAACCATAGGTCTCATCAACCTAGGTTTTCTAGGAGGAAACAGGAAATTGCACCACCTGCGCGTAGGAAATTCTATGCCTACAACTATGACTATAATCCCAACAAGTTTAGGGATGCAAGGAAAATTCCCTGCAACTTCAAACTTGATGTGGGGACACACACTATTTGTTACAATAAAGGCCCAACGCTAGAGGGGGGGCTGAATAGCGTTTAAAACAAACAACAACAACAACAACAACCCAGTTGAATCCCACTACAGTAGGGTCTGGGGAGGGTGTGTGTACGCAGACCTTGCCCCTACTCGGAAGCAGGGAGGCTATTTCAACGTTTAAAACAAAATCGCTGGAAATTAAAAACGAGAGCGATAAAGAAAAGAGCGTAAGGAAGGAGCACACCGAATTTTATCTTGGTTCACCACAACGTGTGGCTAATCCAGCCTCCCGAGAGACTCTCTCAAGCTACACTAACTCCGTTAAGCTTAAGGGTGCTTAACAAACCAATACAACTTGAGAACCCGAGTCACACGAGCCTCAACGCCTTCGCTTGAAGATACCACACTCCAAGACTTCTCACGAAGGAACAAAGAACTTCCTTCGAGTTTACAACAAGGGAACAACCTCCCTTAAAGTGTATAGAAACACTTAAGCACTCAGGAATAAAACTCTCACAAAGAGTAGATAAGAGTGAACTAGTAAACGCTCAAGAACACGACAATTTCTTCAAGAATTGGCTCTCAAATAGCTAAGAAAAATAGGAATGCTTATGCAATGAAAGAGTATTGAAATGTTGAAGAATTGTGTGTAAAATGAGAGGATTTGGGTGCCATTTTATAGCCCAAAATGGGATAAATCCGTTGCTAAAATTTCCCACAGGATGAAGACAAATTTTTCAGAGACACAGGGTGATAATCAATTGTCAAAGCCTGATAATTGATTATCAAAAGATTCTTTGTCCAAAAATTTAAATTCTATCCGTTGGAGGACAACGGTAACCCAGATAATCGATTGTCAACAAGTGATAATCGATTATTGGTCCTCTTAGAAGATTCTGGGTTTTGGCTGTAGAGGCTGATAATCGATTGTTGCGAAAGTGACAATCGATTATTGCGTGCTTCAGAACTTTGAAGTTCAAAGCTGCAGAGGCTGATAGTCGATTGTCACTAAGGTGATAATCGATTATCACCCAGCTAAAACTAAGCCGGTGAAAACCCGTTTTGAAAAGCCGAGGTCCAAAAACGAAGTGTTCCCAAAAGTAAAAACCAAGTTTGAAAAACATTGTAAATGGTAAAACATAGTGAAACCAAGACTTGTTTGATAAAAACCAAGTCTTCAAGGTCGTTTATCACGTGTGTACGGTTTTGACCGTTTTTCACGTGTTAGACCGATTGACCAAGATACAAAAGTGGTTTTTATAAAATAATTATTTGGGAACCTTTTAAATATGCCCAGAGATAAAAACGAGGTTTAAAATATTGAAAACCACCGAGTTGGTCCAGACGCTGAAAACCGAACGCAGAAACTGAACACCGACCGAGGTGGTTTTTGGTCTAGGCAAGGGCAAGGGATTTAATGCAATAAAAAAAATTTTATTTTGATGCACAAAAAAATTTTATGATTTTGTAAAAATTATTTTGACTCTTTGAAAACCGAGACTTGAATTGATTGTCGGTTTTGATCACAAAAGACCGACTCGACTACGTCTTCAATTCTTGATCTTGTCCTTGAGTCTTTTGGTCTTGTTCCATGCCATCCTTGAGTCTTTTGGTCTTAAGTTATTCAACGAAACTCTTCATATCCACGGCGGTTTAGCAATTATCAAAACCTGTCAGAAATGAACACAATTTTAGTTTAACTTCATAAAAAGTGTGTTCCAACAATTTCCCCCTTTTTGATAATGGCAAACAAGACGGGGATATGCATAGGGTTTTGATCTTTTTGAAAAAAAATTCCCCCTTAATATAAATTCCCCCTTAATATATGCATAGCCCTTATCTTCCCCCTTTTGACATTAACAAAAAGATTTAACAACAAAAACCATAAAGATTTATATTTATTAAATAAGGGAACTAGCGTGTTAGAATAAGTTCCCTTCACAAGATTTATACTGGTTCACCACAACGTGTGGCTAGTCCAGTCTCCCGAGAGACTCTCTCGAGCTACACTACTTCCGTTAAGCTTACGGGTGCTTAACAAACCGTTACAACCTGAGAACTCGAGTCCCACGAGCCTCAATACACTTGCTCGGAGATACCGCACTCCAAGACTTCAACTCGAAGGAATATGCCCTTCCTTCGTACAACCAAGGGAACAAACCTCCCTTAAAGTGTTCACAACACTTAACCACTCAAGAACAAAAACTCTCTTAAAGAGTAGAATATGAGTAAATTAATTTAGATCAAGAACACACTCAATTCCTCAAGAAATGGCTCTAAAAAGCTATGTAAAAAGTTTATGGAATGATGCAATGTAAAGCTATGAAATGTGTGAGGAGTGGATGTGAAAAGTAGACCCAAGAGAACCCTTTTTATACCCAAAAACAAAGTGCAACGGTTGGGAAAAGATTGGGGTTGAATGGCTTGATTTGTGGAAATCAAATAAAAGTGGATCTACTGGAATCTAGCCCGACAGCGCTGTTCATATAGTGAACATCGCTGTTTTGGCTTTGACTTTCCTTTAAAAATGGCTAACGGTCATCAAAACATCGATGTCTAGAAGTCTACATCGATGTTGGGGTGTTTGACTTTCAAAAATGGAAAGATTTTGTCTTAAATAGCCCAACGGACATTTGAAAACATTGCTGTTCAACCATGAACATCGCTGTTCAAAAACTTACTACCTAGGGCTTCTGAAGGCCAACATCGCTGTTGGGATTTCCGATATGCATGTTGGGATGGTTTGCCAGAACCATGGTTTGGCAGCCAACGCCGAAAATCGATGTCAAAAACCAAAGTTCTCTAAAATGAAAACCAAGTGTTGGAAACTCATATAAAATGTATTTTATGTAGAAACCAAGTGTAAAAACTTAAAAACCACTTCATTAAGGTAAAAATCACAGCTAGCCAAGTTTATGCCGTTTCACATGGTTTTCACCAAAAGACCAAAAACGAAAGATGGTTTTTAACATGTTTTTGTTGGAGAACTATTTGGATATGTCCAGAAGTAAAAACCAATCATAAAATATTAAAAACCACTTGATTGATTTGGGCGCCAAAAACCAACACCGATAACCGGCGCCGAATGCCGATAACCAATGCCGAAAAACAAAGGTTATGGTTTTTGAAAAATAATGATTTGGAAAACCTTTAAATGTGTCCAAAAGCATAAACCAAAGATAAAAAACCAAAAACTATTTGGTTAAAATCAATGCCAATAACCAATGCCGAAAACCGAACGCCATAGCCAAACGCCGATAGCCGATGGTTATGGTTTTGGTTAAGCAAGAACCATGGGTTTTAGAAACTTAAAAACCATTTATGAAAACATTAGTTTGATGCATGAAAAACATATTTTGTTTTGAGCCATGACATAGAGAAATTGAATGAGCTTGTTACAATAAAACCTAAGTCTTTAGAATACGTCTTCAAAGTGCCAATGTCGCCATCTTTAGCAACGTCAATGCCGTTCTTGTGCTTTTTGTTTCTTCAAAGAACTTTTTCTATCTTTTCATTTTGTTTCATGTTCCCGACGGTTTGTCAATATCAAAACCTAAACGGAAACAAACATTGTCATTAGCAAAATGTCAAAGTGAAAATGTTTTCCAACAATTTCCCCCTTTTGATAATGACAAACCAAGGAGGGGATATGCAGGCCAAGTTGGGTTTTCAAAGAGAGAGTAATGTTAATTCCCCCTACGTCTTTGAAAACAAGATTCCCCCTCACTTGTTGCATATACCCAAACACTTCCGATCCTCCTTTTGGCATTAGCAAAAAGCACTAAGTAAAGTTTTTTTAAAAAAAGGTACTCCCTGAGCATTGATGTTTGATACAAAACATCATTGTTGTATGTTCCCCCTGAAACTGATACCATGTTTATAGCAAAAACAATTCCCCCCAAACTCCCCTTGATGCAAATTATTAGGTTTCGTGCTTGGAGCATCCACTACAAAAATGAAGTCTTCAAACACACCTACATATGCATCTAATAATTTTTAGGTACCCAAAAACTTTTGGGTCTTTGAGGGTTAGGAAAATAATAATCATAGCTATAAAACAAATCTCTATGTTTGGTAAAACAAACGGGTGCTATGTGTCCTATCTTAGAGCAATAATGGCAAGTTACATTTGGGTTATGCATATGCCTAGGTTGAGCCAA